AGGGTCCGGCCCCTGCCGCCGCGCCGGCCCCGGGTTGCGGTGAAGCGCGCCTTACCGAGCTCGGTCTTCCCCTGAGAAACAGCCGGTTTCCAAAGCCCGGCTGTAAAGATTTTTAACAGCCTAGCGAATGCCGCAGATAAGGGAGATCTGGAAGATGCTCCCGGGACATCAGCCCGTCACGGGCTGCTTCGGCGGCGGCGGGAGCTCCGTTCTGCTCCCCGTGTGCGCATTACGGCGCAGGCAGGATTCCACATATACTCCATTTAATCTTGCTCTGTGACAGGGCTGTTTAAGTGTATACCGTGCCTACATTCTTTGTATAGAGACCAAAAGGATGCATTGTTGAAAGAAAACTATTCAAAATCTTTCATCTGATAGAAACGATCCAGCAACTGTGAGGCAGCTACAGCACAATGGTTCTGTCTACATAATAGGTATCTCATAAAAATACAGCGTGTCATTGCAACAAAAAGTTAAAAGTCTCAAATGTATCCATCTTATATATTGCGTGAAGTCAATAATATTCTAACCTTGCCTGCACCCCGCCATTAAATGGCACACGGCACTTTAAAATCGAGGGCATTGTGATTGAAATCCCAGTCTCTAGCAGAGAAAGAGGGGAGCAAGGTAAGTTAAACGAGGACCATTACGGATGTAATGACCTCAGGGTAAATATTCATTAGGAAGAGGAGATTCCTCTTCTAATACCCGGTCTATTTTCTTTGGAATGCAATATCACGGAGCCTAATGTAGTAGCAAGACCCAAGATTTCAAAGGAGATTATTGGCAAGTGTGTTGGGTCGAGTTCGGGGGATTTTTTTCCAGACACTTTCCTCAAGTGGGATGCAAATGCCAAGAATGTTTTTTGTTTGTTTGTTTTTTGTTTTTTGTTTTTTTAAAATCACCTTTCTCGTTTTATTCGGGCGGCTGGAGAAGCTTGTTCCTTGCCCTGCCCCCGGTAGGAGAAAGCAGAGAACACTTAAGCGGCGCGGTTAGCAGCCCTGCCTCTCTCTCTTCCCTTGGTAGGTGCACTTAGCCGGCGGAAAGGGAGACTGCACACAGCCCCGGGGACAGAGTTTGCCTCCTGGACTACACTTCTCTTGCTGAAGAACAGTAGCTCCGACCTCCCAGCCAACTGAGACTGGCGCTTTAAAGTGGCTGCGAACAGAGCTCCCGTGGCTTAACAGGGTCACAGAGGAGGTTTGAGCCTTTTGATTTCCAGGCACAAGGAATTACTCCCTCGGAACCCCGGTATTTTTCATTTTTTTTAAATTTTTTTTTAAATAAGAGCAAAAGCGAAGCTGGGCACGATTCACTTATACACACAGAAAGAGAAAAGGGGGGTGAAAAAGCACATCTGGCCGTGTGAGACCGCCCCGTGCTCCTGGCCGCTCGCTTGTCCCCGGCGGGCTGGCGGCCGGGGCGGGC